CCTGGCTCTAATGCTGTCTATACCTATATCCTAAGCAGTTTGTTGTTATCTCTGGCATAACATTTATTACAGAACGTTAGCTGTATACTCACTCATCTGCTTTGATTAGGACAAGCTTATCCAACCCGCAGTCTGTGAGCCACTTGTGGCCTAGGATGGCTTTGAATGAGGCCCAACACAAATCAGTAAACTTTCTTCAAACATTATGAGGTTATTTTGCGATTTTTTTTTTTTTTTTTTTGAGACAGAGTCTTACTCTGTCACCTCAGCCTCCCGAGTAGCTAGGACTACAGGCGTGCCACCACGTCCAGCTAATTTTTTTATTTTTAGTTGAGGTGGGTTTCCGCCATGTTGGCCAGGATGGTCTCAATCTCTTGACCTTGTGATCTGCCCACCTCCATCTCCCAAAGGGCTGGGATTACAGGCGTGAGCCCCAGTGCCCGGCCTTTTTTGTGATTTTTTTTAAAGCTCATCAGCTATTGTATTAGTGTATTTTATGTGTGACCCAAGACAATTCTAATGTGGCCCAGGGAAGCCAAACGACTGAACACCCCTGGATTAAGAAATCCCTTAAGGTAGAGACATTTGTGATTCATTATTACACTCAGGGTCTCCCAAATACAGTGTTCATGCCCATGTGTAATTTCTTCCCACATTTATTCTAGGCTTGGCTAAATGATTTGCTTTGGCCTAAGAGATGTCAGCAAACATGATGTAAGTTCAGTGTCTGCACATTGGCACATTGCTCTCATCACGTTAAGAAGTCCAAGGAGCCAACCTGAAGATGAAAGACATACAGAGAGAAAGGTCCAGATCCTCAGTTGTCTCAACTGAGCTCAATCCCCAGGAAATCCCCCAACTGAATGCAGTACCGTAAGTGAGCTCAGGTGAAACAGCAGAAGAGCTTTCCAGGCAACTCACAGAATCATGAGAAATAGTAAATTATTGTTATTAGTCTCTAAGTTTTTGAGCTTTTTGTCATACAGTCATAAATAATTAAAACACATGCCTTATTTATTTTTTATCCATGTACTAATATGTTTGTTTATTCATTTATTTATTTGGCAATTATTTAAATATCATAGGCACTGGGATATATAATGCCTGTGATAATGCTAAGCACTGGGAAATATAATGATAGACAAGACAGAGACTGTGCTGTGAAGAAGCATCCAGTAAGGAGTAGGAACAAATAAAGATATGATTATAGTACCATGAGGTACAGGCTATGAGAAGAGTAAACACGAGGGGCTATGGAAGAATCTAATAGTGACACCTTACTCAATTTGGGGAGCGGTGTCACAGGAAAATGCCTGATGTCGATATTCTGTGCATATTTCTTTTCTGTTGTAACACAGGAAAGAGAAATTCAGCAATTTGGTCAATGTCACTCAATTATTGGACTGATATAATTTCTCCTGAATCTCATTTGACAACTCCGTATGTAAAGGTTGTTTCTTTCCATAGCTGGTGGGTTTTTTTGTTTTGTTTTGTTTTTTTGAGACAGAGTCTCGCTCTGTCACCCAGGCTAGAGCAGTGGTGCGATCTTGGCTCACTGCAACCTTCGCCTCCCGGGTTCAAGCGATTTTCCTGCCTCAGCCTCCCAAGTAGCTGGGACTACAGATGCCCGCCACCACGCCCGGCAAATATTTGTATTTTTAGTAGAGATGGGATTTCGTCATGTTGGCCAGGCTGGTCTCGAACTCCTGAGCTTGTGATCTGCCTGCCTTGGCCTCCCAAAGTGCTGGGATTACAGGCGTGAACCACCATGCCTGGCCTTTCATAGGTATTTTTATTTTTGTTTATTTAGTTGGTTTTGTTTTGTCCACAGTGGAAATTCATTCTCATCAATAAAAGCTAGAGTCTTGTGATCCAAACCACTAGGTTTTCTGCAAGCATAATTTTTAACAATAAATTAACCTGCTTTCCCACCCAATAATTCTTTACTAAAAATTAAATAGTAAAATAATGATTAAATAATTTTAAAGTAGCTAAGTTTAAATATAAAAAATTATACTGGAAAGATATATTAATTTATATAGCAAGATTTACCTTATTTATTTATTTATTTATTTATTTATTTATTGAGATGGAGTTTTGCTCTTGTTGCCCAGGCCGGAGTGCAATGATGTGATCTTGGCTCACCGCAACCTCCGCCTCCTGGGTTCAAGCGATTCTTATGCCTCAGCCTCCCAAGTAGCTGGGATTATAGGCATGCGCCACCACGCCTGGCTAATTTGTTTATTATTAGTAGAGACGGGGTTTCTCCATGTTGGTCAGGCTGGTCTCGAGCTCCCAACCTCAGGTGATCCGCCCACCTCGGCCTCCAAAAGTGCTGGGATTACAGGTGTGAACCACTGCACCCGGCCTAGAACAAGACTTAAAAACACCAAATATTGAGGTACAATTTGGTACCTTTTCACTTTAATTATTGCCAGTCACTGTGTCATCCAACTGTTTTCTTCCCATCAAAATCTGAAGAAGCTCACAAATAAGGTCATGTGCTGCACAACATGGTTTCAGTCACCAACAGACCACAGCTGTCATGGTGGTCCCATAAGATTATAATGCTGTATTTTTACTGCACTTTTTCTATATTTAGATACTTTTAGATACACAAATACTTACCATTGTGTTACAATCGCCTACAGTAGTCAGTGCTATAACATACTGTACAGGTTTGTAGCCCAGGAGGAATGAGCTAAACTGTATAGCCTAGGTGTGTAGTAGACTGTGCCATCTAGGTTTGTATAAGCACACTGTATGATGTCACACAGTGACAAAATCACCTAATGATGCATTTCACAAAACATATTCACGTCATTAAGCAACATATGGCTATACTGGGACAAAAGTGATTTGGCCCAATAAAATGGTTGCTTAGAGATTGTAACTGCCCTCACAGTTGTTCCTGCCTGTTGCACAGTTGCACAGACAGAGCCAATTTACTAAGACAGCATTATTACAATAGAGAAATAGTTTAATAAATGCAAAGCTGGCTAAACAGAAAATCAGAGTTTTATTACTTAAATCGGCCTCCCAAAACATTTGAAGACTAGGGTTTTTTAAGGGTAATCTGGTGGGCAGGGGGCTAGGGAGCGGAGGAATGCTTTGGTTGGGTGGGGGCTGAAATCATAGAGGGGTCGAAGCAGGTTCTTCTTGCTGTCTTCAGTTTCTGGGTGGGATCGCAGAACTAGTTGGGCCAGTTTACCAGTCTGGGTGGTGCCAGTTTGTTCATCAAAATGCAGGGTCTGAAAAATATCTCAAACGCCAATCTTAGGTTTTACAATAGTGATGTTATTTGTTGGAGCAGTTGTGGAGTATATTAGTCTGTTCTTGCATTGCTCTAAAGAAATACCTGAGACTGGGTAATTTATAAAGAAAAGAGATTTAATTGGCTCATGGTTCTGCAGGCTGTACAGGAAGCGTTGTGGTTTCTGCTCTTGGGGAGGCCTCAGAAAGCTCACAATCATGGCTGAAGGGCAAAAGGGGACCAGGCATCTAATATGGCAGAAGCAGGAGCAAGAGAGTGCAGGTATGAGTAGGGGCAGGTAACACACACTTTTAAACAACCACATCTCACGAGACTCACCGTCATAAGAACAGCACCAAGGAGATCGTGCTAAATCATTCATGAGAAATCCACCCCCATGATCCAATCACCTTCCACCAAGCTTCACCTCCAACACTGGGGATTACAATTTGACAGGAGATTTGGGTGGAAACACAGATACAAAGCATATCAGGAAATTTAGAATTTTGTGGCTTCTGGCTGCATGACTCCTGAACCATAATTTCTAATCTCGTGGCTAATGTGTTAGTTTTACAAAGGTGGTCTGGTTCCCAGGCAAAAAGGGGATTTGTTTTGGGAAGGGACTATTACCATCTTTGTTTCAAAGTTAAACTATAAACGAAATTCCTTTTATGGTTAGCCTGGCTTACACCCTGGAATGAACAAGGACAGCATGGATGTTAAAAACAAGATGGAGTAGGTTGAGACAGATTTCTTTTGCTGTCATAATTTTCCTATGTCACAGTTTTCTCACCGTTATAATTTGTGCAAAGGTAGTTCCAAGATGGTTCTAGGACCTTGAGGAGTCCTAAGTATCACAGATGGAAAAATCGGTATGTTAAGAAAAGTACAGTCATAATCACTAACCCTTATTTTAGTTAAAATACAAGCTTATACATAGAAACAAGGCTGCAGTCTAGAAGAAAGTCCGCAAATAGGCAGTGCAGTTTTAATTAGTTGAGTATGGAGACTAATTAATATGCAAATGAGGAGCTTACCAATATTAATCATCTGTTTTACTAGGCAGCTTTTACTAAAGAGTTTCTAACGAGTTTGCAAATTAAGTTTCTTTGACATTAAAAATCAGCTAAACGCCTGTCTGAGAATAATCTCTTCTAACTCAAGGGCGGGAAGGGAGAATTTTTTTCTGGATGAAAAACAGCAGTGTTTAAAACCAATTCCCATGTTGGCAAGCACTGTGCAAGAGTTCTGTATCAACCCTTTCCAGGCTCTAATTGAAACCATTTCAGCAAGAGAGACACCAGAAAACAGTTGGAACAGAGACAAATATGAGTCATGGTGATTTAAAGATACATGACCTAGAAAGTTGCGTCAAAAAACTTGCTTAAGTTGGTGACTGGCATTGTTAAAACACAAAAGAGGTTAGAAATATTTGCCTAAACTCCCTTTTATGGCCTTTAACATACCCCTATGGTTCTCTTTACTTGGAAATATTGAAGATTGGGTTGAATGCTGACTTATCAGGGGTGATCTGAGTATGAGGATAGATTACAAAGTGGTCACTTTCATTTTGGGATTCGTTTTCATTCAAGTTTGTGAAAAAGTATATGGGCTTCAGTTCAATTATGTTCATCCTATTTTCATCCTATTTTCAATGTCAATTGATTCCGTTATCGTGCCACTTGGCTATTAATACAAAATTATACACTACAAATTAATACAATATTTTTATGTTTCCTACTTCCAGGCAGAATGTCAGCAAAGAAATTCTTTTGAAAGACAATAGATTGGATGCAACTCTTCTCTGATCCTTTGCTCCAGTAAATGAAATTCACAGTTGCCCTTAAAAATATTTTCTCTTTCATCATATCCCTATGGAGATTCAAAGGAAACTTTGAAATGATACCTTGTCAATGAGCTCACAATCTATGTTTCTTCTCACATTTTGCACCTCTCCCCCCACCCCCCACTCTTCTATACCTATCAGCCAAAACTTACCATAATTAGGCTAGACAAATTTGTTACCAGGGATCTCCTTTATGCATTCATTCATTCATTTTTTCAATGAATATTGATAAGGCTGAACCAAGGTACGGAGCACCTCCTGCTGTATAAGGTACTTTGGGATGCAAATATGTATAATTAGAAGTTTCAAGGGATTTACAGTCTACCAAGAAAATAAAGCATGTGCCCAATAAGGCCGCTTTGAAGAATTATGTGATAAAAGCAATGAGAGTTGTAGATCTCATGTGCTTGCTGCAAATAACTTTGAGCAATCTTGTGAAAACATTATGCCTCAATCTCTTTCTTAATATAGCAGAGTCCTAGTACATCGGAGAACAGAATATGATTGGTGATTTATTACTTTTCAGTTTTTACAAGTTTAAAGTGGCTAATATGACAAATACCGAAGAACGGTCCCACCTTTCCCAGAGTAGGGAGAGACCTTACTTTAGTCTGTGGATGTTTACTTGCTGATTGTCAATGAGAATGACCCAATGACATTCACTTGAAGTGTTCAGCGGGGAGCTCTGGACTATATTTTTCAGTTCTGTTATGATTCTTGCTTGTCTGTAGCCTTATTTCTTTTGGTCAATACCTGTGCTAAATGTTCGGGTTGGCGGAAAATACTGTTAAGTTCAGATTCATTAAAATTCATGGCAAAAATGAAAGAAAGTCCTTAATCAAAGGCACAAGATAGATTTTGCAAAGAAATTACGGCCAGAGAATTAATCTAAAATGTGCTTTGGTTTGGGCTTCTGTACAAGCACGTCTTGGCGGCAGGTCTGGACTCGAGGTTGTGGGAGCTGCAGGAGTGGAAAATGGAAATGGCTCATCTGCACCTGCCCTTTCTCCAGAGATTTGTCTCATCATCCTCTCCCATGACACACAGGGCCAGTCCACACTCAGAGAGAAGTCTGCAGACCGTCCTTCCTTGATGCCCAAGCCCCAGCAGGATGGTGCTCCAAGTCACTGTCACTAAATTGTATATGGTGTTTTATAGAATGTATTTCTGTGGTATGTGTGAATTCCAATTGTTTGCTCTAGAACAGCACTGTTCAATAGAACATTCTGCAGTGACAAAAATATTCTGTAAATCTCCATGGTCCGATACAATAGCCACTAACCACATGGCTATTGAGGATTTAAAATATGGAACTGGATTTTTAATTTTATTTAATTTTGATTACATAATTTTAATTTAAATAGCCACATATGTCTAGTAGCTTACCATAATGGACAGTGCAGTCCTAGAAAATAACTTCATCCATTTTGATTTTATAAATGGAAATGGAAAATAACCACCCTATGATAATGACACAGTTCTGACTTAGGTGCATGAATTAATTCTCTTAATTTTGACATAAATATAATGAATGAAATTTCAACCCTTCTGCTATTGATGAAAAAGTAAGGCTTTAACTTCAGTTGTCTAGATTGAATATATAACTGACCAACTGCTCACTTTGAATTTTTTTCCATTTATTATACATCTTGCATCCCACACCTAGCCATAGATAGGTAAGATTAAATTAGTCTTCTATCTTAGGAACACATAATAGGACCTTCTAATAAAGACACAAAATTACAAAAACATAAATAAAATAAATGCAAATAATATTAATAAATTCTGTAGATAATTCAAAATGCTGTTTGAATGAGACTTCTGAACAACTTGGTGGCATGGCTACACTGGAGCTAAATTTGCTATTATTTGAAAATTCTGAAATCAAGTACTATAAATGATGTGTTCTAATAAGAAATAATCACCCCTTGAGAGTATGGTAACGTGTATGAGACTAAGCACAACTAATACAAAACAGCATATAACCTGAATTTTATGTATAGCTCATTTCTGGGAGGAAGAGTTCCCAATGTTTGCACCAGAATTAGAAGCAACCAGAGACTCAATTGGTCTGATGCTAATAACTATGCAGGAGCTTTCCTAAGATGCTGAATGTGCACTTCTGAGCCCCCTTCTACTCACCAGTCTGTGTTGATGAGCCCAGATACATACAACTGACTAGAATTTCATCACTTTTAAACATGCACTATTGAGTTGATGCCACATCCATGAATATGATTGATTTAGACAAGACTGAAAAATATAGCGTTTTAGATAACCAGGGGGTTCAGCCGAATTCTAAGGAGGGGTTTGAGAGCACCTGCTCCTCTAGTTGCATTAATACGGCTCCTGGAGGCCAGGCATGGTGGCTCACACCTGTAATCCTAGCACTTTGGGAGGCCAAGGCGGGCGGATCACGAGGTCAAGAGACCAAGACTATCCTGGCCAACATGGTGAAACCCCATCTCTACTAAAAATACAAAAATTAGCTGGGCATAGTGGTGTGTGCCTGTAGTCCCAGCTACTCAGAAGGCTGAGGCAGGAGAATCGCTTGAACCTGGGAGGCGGAGGTTGCAGTGAGCCGAGATTGCGCCACTGCACTCCAGCCTGGGCAACAGAGTGAGACTCCATCTCAAAAAAAAAAGACTCCTGGAAAAATCGACCCACTTGTTTATACAGCCTGTCTTACTTCATAGGATTCTTGTGAGAATTAAATGAGATCCTGGGAGGGTTAGATGACTACAGTAGAAAGAGCAGTCAGATGATAAAAAAATATCTGAATTTTAATCCTGAGACTTTACTTAATGTCTTTGAGTTTTAGCTTTCTTATCTGCAGGATGAGGGTAGGAATGTCAGCTCCATTTATCTCACAGAGTTTCCGCAGGGATCACATGAGACACTCTGCACGCTTTTTTTTTTTTTTTTTTTCTTTTTTAATTCTGAGTTTGTTATAGGCACAGAGATTTCTGATTTCTGGTCACTGTTTTTTAGATTCATTTACTTTTATCTAGTCCCTTAGTCACCAGTTGCACATATCTACAAAATGATTGGCTGGGATTAGTGGCGTGGTCTATGAAAGTGAAATTGAGTGAAACAAGAAAAACCATAAAAGGTCCCAAATCCATGGCCTTGACTTCATTAAGCAGGCGCAATATTCATCTGTGCGATCCATCTTCAGTGAAATGTAGCCTCCTGACCTTTTGCCAGCTTAGCCCTGCTGTCAGCAGCTGGGGGCCCTGCCACAGGGCTGGGGAGGGAGCCCAGGGTTGCCCACATTGCAGATCATCTCAGGAATATTCAAGAGGGACTGTAAAATAAACCCCCAGTCTTGTAATTTTATTTCAAAAAGCAAAAAATCTCCCAGATAATGAGCATTTTGCTCTAATAAGAACTGTAGGATTGATTAGGTTCAAACTGTTAACAGACATCCTTATGGTTAATGAAGCAGCATTGAAAATGCCTCTGGATTTTTTGGAAACTTAAATCATACAAAAGGAAGCAAAGAACTGGAGGTAGGGTGGATTAAACTGTCTGTTAGTTAATATACTCAAAATAATGGACACAAAATGTTCTTTGAAAAGTTCATATGTATCAAGAGTTATTTCCCCAATGGGCAAGCAATAAACTTTGATGATTATTGTTGGAACATTCTTTGGATAACATATTTTTCTGTGAATCTTGAGTGGGGGACGGAAGCTTCTGCCATTTTAATTCCTTTGTTAATGTCTTTATGAATGCAATTAACACTTCATTCACGCTTCTTTGTTTCTGGATCCCATTAGGATGTGGTTTATGCCAGTTTCTCTCTCCCAGGAGACAGCCCGCATCACACAACATTTCACTCAGCTGTGTCGCTGAGCACTGACAAACTCAATTTACAAAAGGCAAGAGTGAGTTGACACCATGCTGTGGCAGTTGTCCTGATGGGAGGAAACGACTCATTTCCTTCCAAGGTAGAACCCACCTTCTCTGAGAAGCAAGCTTGTGCATAAGAGTGTTGAAGACAAGGAGGTAAGGAAAGCCTCTTGGCTGACACAAAGTAAAATCCCTGCAGTTGAAGAAATGCTAAGAATCAAATTTGGTTCCTGGTCTTCAAAGAAAAAACAGCTATCGCTGGCCCTGTAGGCACAACAGGCTGCTGTTATCTTTATCAAACATTTAGTAAGAGCTAACTAGGTACAAAGTAAGGGAGAAGCCCAGAAGCAGAGGAAATGGTCTCTCCCTTCTGGAGCTTACAGTGTAAACAAGAGGCAAGAGATAAACATGACAAATACATAAGCCGGGGCGAAAGGCAGCACAGCTAAGTCCTGAATGAGAGGCACAGACCAAAAGAACACTAGGAGTTCAGAAGTCTGTGATGGGGAATCTGGGGAAAGCTTTTCTGGGGAGGTGAGACTTGAATAAAAGCAGTTCCCCTGGCCATTCAATGATTGCACTCACCAGGAAAGAGGGAGAGAATAGGAGAAACTGCAGAGAGGGAAGGAGAGGCAGGCATTAGCTAAGATGCAAAGGTGCAAAATGAGTAAGAGGGTTTTTGTTCTTGATACATTATTTTCCCTTTATATTAAAGTCTCTCCTCCAATTGATGGGATCATTTCTATTTCAAATATCAGTGTGCTATTTGCTTAACAGCCAAAGGCACTGCAAATGAATATATCTGAATCTTACTAGGAACTGTACAGAAGAAGATGCAGGAGGTCCAAAGGGAAGTCAGAGACAAAAGAAGGAAGGAAGGAAGCAAGCACTGCTCATGGTTTGACATTACATTTTTTCTTTAAATGAAAAAAAAAAAAAATCACCTATAGATAGGCCTTGTACCTGTGCTATAATTTTAAGTTTGGTTTTCTCTGACAAAGACAAAAAAAGAGGAGAATTTCTAATAAGTGTTAAGAAGCATGCCATATTTCCAGAAAAGGAAGTAAAGCAGCTTATAGTCCAAGTCATCTGTGCCTAATGTTAAAGGTGTTTTAATAAGCAAAGGGTAGTATTCCTTATGCAGTTTTAACATGATTTAATGGTATGATAATTGGTTATTTTCTTGTTTCTGAGTTACTCCAGAAATCTAGCCCTTTTCCCATTAGCTATATATCCTTATTACCAAGATCTTTCTCATGTCTCTTTCAACCAGATCTGGGCTGTCAACGCCATCATATTCTATTAGAATAAGGCCTGGATGTATTTCTGCCAGATTGGCCAGCCCCTAGGCATTAAAGCATTACAGACCACAGTCATGCCTGAGCACTTTTTGCTTTAACAATAAGGGTCATTTTGTTTACATTTTATCATATGAAACTGCTCTTTGTGGGAAAAATGGCTTCCCATATTACAAATAATGCTTGGCCAAAGAACAACTAACATTAACATTAACATTAACACTGATTCTAATCAAAAGTTAAAGTGTTGGTAATTTTATGAGGGTTGTTTCTTTCTCTAAAGCAAATAGCTGTCAATTGTCAGTTTTAAAACTACCATGATTTATTGGAAGAATAACAGCTCAGTAGAATTACTGAATTAATTCCCAAACATTTAAAGGGGAAAGAAAAAAAATGATAAAATGGATGGTCTGTATGGAGCAGGGAGGGGAAGGGATGGTTCTGAGGCTAAAAAAACAAAAAACAAAAACCCTTTACTTCTGTCCTTGTGCATTTTTTTAAATAGAAAAAAGCCACTCTGCATTCCCTGGCCTCAAGCCACTAGGTCACTATGTAAAACATAAACAGGGTCTGTGTTTTGCTGCATTTGAGAAAGATGTAAAGGTGTAAATATGATGGAAGAGGTTTTGTTTCCTTTCCCCTCTCAGGAATGGTCTGACAGCCCCAGGCTTGAGAATGTGTCTCTCCCAAGTACTCTGTCACCCTGGTAACCATGGAGACCATGACGATCGATTAGATGCCATCTGATCTCAACCTCATAAAAAAAAAGGCAGCAGATGGCAACCAGGCCACTAGACCTGTCTCAAGAGAGACGAAGAGGAAGAGCGAGAAAGGGAAGGAAGGAGGGAGAAAGGGGAGGAGGTGGGGGTGGGTTGGCGCAGGGAGAAGAGAGCCCAGAAGCAGCTCTGGAAATGAAAATTTTAGAAAAGAATGAAAATAGAAAACAAGGAAAGCAATGGAAAAAAAGAAACTAAAACCCACTGTGCGATAGACCCCCATAGTGAGTTGATAATTCCATGAGGAAGATAATTCTATAGAGAAAGCAAATCCGCTATCTCCTAACTTTCCACTTTATACAGAATGGTGTGGAACCTGGGCCCCAAGGCTTCTCTGAGGGATACACACAAAGTTGGCTGTCAGAATCAGTTGGACTTTGATGCATCCAAAAGAGAATGCTGAGAGCTGGTTCTCAGAATGAATGTCCCTAATCAGATGAGACCTTTCAGGGGACTGGATGCGTCAATACTGGTATGTTTGTCAGCCCATCCCCAGCAGTGTTCTAATATTCCTTAAAGGAAGAAGCGATAACCAGGTCAGTAGATACCTAAAGTGAAAAGAAGACAAGAGCAGTTAAGTCAATTCTGGTAGCCTAGGAGTTTTAGCCAGTGTCCCAGAGTAATGTAATGGCTAATATTTATGAAGTGTTTATGATATGTCAGACACTGCTAAGCACTACATACAGAATATTTAATTTAATCCAGATAACAATACCATAATATAGGTGCAATAATGATTCCCATTTTACAGAGAGGACCTGAGGCTTAGAGAGGTTAACTACCTTCATCAAGGGCATACCTAGAATGGAATATGTAAATGTACAGAACAGCTTACTTATATAGAGAGTTGACTTGCTCACTCTTGTGCTTTCTTTTTCAATCCCCTCCCCCACCTTTTTTTTAAGACAGAGTTTCACTCTGTCACCCAGGATGGAGTGCAGTGGTGCAAATTCAGCTCACTGCAATCTTCGCCTCCTGGGTTCAGGTGATTCTCCTGCTTTAGCCTCTGGAGTAGCTGAGATTACAGGTGTGCACCACCACATCTGGCTAATTTTTGTATTTTTAGTAGAGACAGGGTTTCACTATGTTGCCCAGGCTGGTCTCCAGCTCCCAACCTCAGGTGATCCACCCACCTTGGCCTCCCAAAGTGCTGAGATTACAGGTGTGAGCCATTGCTCCTGGCCTTCTCCTCCTTTTTATTTATTTATTTTCATTTTTTATTTTTTGAGATGGGGTCTTGCTATATCAGTCAGGCTGGTCTCAAACTCCTGGGCTCAAGTGATCCTCCTGCCTCAACCTCCCTAGTAGCTGGGACTATAGGCATGCACTACCACACCTAGCATTTTTCCCTTTTACATTTTATTTCAGATTTTTGCAGATTACAAAATAGGACATGTCCAATATAGAAAACTGCTTAAAACAAGAGAAAGAAAGGGAAAATTATCTACAATCCCATTAGTCAGAGATACGTGTG